CCCCCATGTGTCACGACGTGGTGGAATCTGCTACTCTGGTTCTGGTCCATGGAAACTGAAAAGTTACATTTTGGAGCCTGTCATCAATGTTTTTCAGCAAAATGCACACAGAAATGTCTTCTTACTTTAATGGACATAAAAGGTATTGAGTCGAAAACAAAAAAGCTAAAAATGACCAGACGTGCGGTAAATGCTAATTTCTTCAATTTCCTTATTTTGCCGAGCGCCTGATTTCACCACGTTGTCCCACATCAAATGTTCAGAGAAAGCTTCTGTCCTCAACCGAGCCAAATCACAGCTTAGTGGGTTTACACATATTTATATATTTATATAAAATTTAAACATTTGGTTGGAAGAATATATTCACAAACAAGAGGAAAAGGAAAAAACCACCTGTACAAGACACCTGTACAAGACATCCACCTGTACAAGACATCCACCTGTACAAGACATCCACCTGTACAAGACATCTGTACAAGACACCTGTACAAGACATCTGTACAAGACATCTGTACAAGACAACTGTACAAGACACCTATACAAGACACCTGTACAAGACACCTGTACAAGACACCTGTACAAGACATCCACCTGTACAAGACACCTGTACAAGACATCCACCTATACAAGACACCTGTACAAGACATCCACCTGTATAAGACAGCCACCTGTACAAGACATCCACCTGTATAAGACACCTGTACAAGACAACCACCTGTACAAGACACCTGTACAAGACATCTGTACAAGACATCCTTACAAGACACCTGTACAAGACATCTGTACAAGACATCCACCTGTACAAGACATCCACCTGTACAAGACATCCACCTTTCTCCTCGATATAGAGGAGCAGCCATCTTGGACAATCCGGGTGGTCAACCACAGACATTTTCTACAAGTAATTCTTTCCATCACTGCCTGGTCTTCTAAAGATCCTTCTAGAATTCTCTCAAGGTAGATTCCATTCATTTCTTTCTCTTCTCTACCCAAGACTTCCTGAAAAAACAGAAATCACCCCCCCC